GCGCAGGCGGCGCTGGGGGTCGGCGTCGCGCGCCTTCTATTTGCACAGCTCTTCGCCCCTCCTCAAGTTCTAGCAAATCTTGAGCGACGCTGACTTCAGTTTCGCCGCCGCCGTGGCCAGTTTTTGTTATGCCTGCTCCCGCCCCTTCTTCTCCTCAGAAGGAACGCAGACAGGCGACATATGGACGACTCGCCCAAACAACAACATGAACTTTTTCGTAGGGGCAATATGTCGCCTAATTGCGCCCGCAATCCTCCAAGTAACTCTTCTTCCATAATTTCGCCTCCGCCCACGCCTGCTTGGCATCCTCGCGGTTGGCCTTAACGTCGCCCTTGGCAATCTTGGCGTTGCGGAAATGCATGTTGGACCGCCTCCTGCGGAAATACAAACAAAAAATTTACGCATCCGTTCGAAAGAACACATAAAAGCTTTAATGGTTGAGTGTTGGCACCGAGATCCTGAGGTCGTCTGCGTCGGTCTAGTGCTTTTTGACTGCCTGCTCAAGGCGGTGTTTGAGCTTCACTGCCGCCGCGCGGGCGCCCTCCGCCATCAAGCGCCGCGTTCGGGGCTGAAGCATAAATTGTTCAAGGCGTCGTTTGGCCTTGTAGTAGTCAACGCTTTTCTCTAGTTTCGATTGGTCGGCTTTCGTGCCCTTTTCAGGGTTCCCCATTTGGGCTGAAGCCTCGTTTGATTTGAGCCAGAACCTCTGCGCGGGAGGAGGGGGAGGACGGGAGGAATGTGGAGGGGGGAATACGATGAAAGACAACAGTGGGAAATGAAGAATACGATGAACAAGCATGATGAGTAAACTGATGATCGATAGCGTTCCAATCGCTAGGAAATTCGACGAAAATGCCGTGTTACAATCATACAAACAGCGGGTCGCACGGGCCCCCCCCTCTGGCTCGCGGAGCGCGCCAGAGGCGGCGCCAGAGGCGCTGCCGAGGGGAGTCCAGCGGATCCAAGAAACACGCGCGGAGCGTTAACAGTCTCTGTGTATGACGCCTCCTCTTTTTCAACATCAGGCTGCTTGGGTTGCAAAGCCAAGGAAAAGGGCCCCTGGAGGTCCACGCTGCCACCCATGACCCAAGAGATGGCCGACAAAAACCAGGCGACCCAACAGGCGCCCCAACAGAGTCACCACGGGCGTTTGGACCCCGCTTCGTCGGGCCCCGGGGCCCGGCGTGGGGAGAAGAGCCGCGCAGAACTCCTGGTCGTGAGTCTGCTCCACGACGCCGTAATCACCGCGTCGGATGCCAGGGGAGGGCGCCAGCTATACTCTGGATAGGACAATGATCGCCCGCCCCTTGGATCCGCTGGGGGGGGTTGAGTACGTGATGTCGGAACGGGCAGAGGGGGGTTGGAGGAGGAGGAGGAGGAGGAGGAGGAGGAGGAGGAGGAGGAGGAGGGGGAGCATGAGGAGGTGGAGGGGAGGGGGGATGGGCAAGCTCCGTCAGAAGATTAGTCGCCCACCCCTCGATTCAGATCCCACCCGTAGTACACTGGCACCGGCCATGTCCGCGCCTGTCCTGGGCCGAGGATCGGTGCATGCTCCCTCCTGGCTCGACCTGGACGGCACGTACACCGACCCTGGGCCCAGAGCTGGCCCAGCCCAGCCAGGGTCGGTGTCGGTGCAGAGAAGACGAGAAAGACGCGAAACCACCGTTTGAGGCCTCGAAGTGGTCACCAACACCACCACACGGGGCTGCCTCCACGGGGACGAAGATGATCCTAGATTTCGTTGTTGGTGGCAATATGTCTGCCACCTAGAAGCCCGAATACAGTGCGGGCGCAGCCGCAAGAAACCCTCGCAAGAAACCCAACCCTGAGAACCCGCGCGCGAGGTGCACCGGAGGCGAGGTGCACCGGAGGGGAAATCCGGAGCACCCTGAACGCAGCAGCTCCTTCAACGGCCGCGGGAAGTCGCCGCGCAGCGCGGGGAGCAAAGAAACCGGGGATACCCTGACGAAAAACACATGGCTTCTTGATGCGCGCTCCCGCTGCATATTACCACCACCACCGAAATTGGGAGCATCCTCCCTCGGTGGAGGCACGCCGCCGATCTTGGTGCTGGCGTCGAGCTCTGGGCCTTCGGCGTCGGATCTGGAGGGTCTGGCCCGAGGGTGCAGCGCAACGGGCCCTCAGTCCCTGAACTGGCACTGGGACGGGGGGGAGAAGTGGAGAGGGGGGGGGAGGACTGACGGCGAGCACGGGGGGGAAGTGAGAAGGGGCGGGCCTTCTCAGAGGATCCGGAAGTCCCCCGGACTTCTGAGAAGTTTTCTAAGCCTTCCCCGAAGACACAGAAAACTTCTCAGAAGGCGCGAGAGCTTCTGAGAAGACCCGCCGCCCTCTGAGAAGGTCTTCTCCTTCTCGTTTTCCCCCCTCGCTCGCCGCCGAGAGGAGGAGAGAAAGGAAGGAAGAGGGCGAGGAGAAGGAAGACGAAGACGTTCGCGGGGGGAGTAAACGGCAAGAACCAAATCACGGTTCAGGCTAACCTCTGGCAGCGGCTCGCGCCAAGCTGGCTGCAAGATAGTCTCTGGGAGAGGGCGAGGCGGGGGAGGTATACGAGCTTCCTGGCAACAACGCTGGCAGAAAGACGTGTGCAGGCCGTGATCGTGAAACAAGAAAAACGCCATAAACATACGTTTGGCGCTCCGCGCGGGGCCCAGCGCGGATCCGAGAAATCCACGCGGAGCGCCGAAATTTTATGTCTATGGCATTTTTCCCAACCCTACTCTGTTGGGTAATTACTCGTTTTGAATAGAGCAGTGTGGTCTCCACCTTCTCCTCTCCCCCTCCTCCTCCTTCTCTCCTGTTTCCTGTGTTCCCTTCTCTTCTTCTCTCGTGCCGTATGCGATTGGCGCAACTGTCGCCACTTTCGTGGGCTCCTGGGAGGCCCAGCTGAGGTGGGTCCCACGCGGACCACCTCGGGACCTCGCCGCTCCCTGAGGGGCTTGCGATCTGCGCAACTGTCGCCACTATCGTGGGCTCTTGGGAGGCCCAGCGGAGGTACGTCATACGCAGACCACCTCGGGACCTCGCCCCCCCTGGGGGGCTTGCGATCTGTGCAACTGTCGCCACTTTCGTGGGGCTTGGGAGGCCCAGCGGAGGTACGTCATACGCGGACCACCTCGGGACCTCGCCGCCCCCTGGGAGGCTTGCGATTTGCGCAACCGCGTCCTTTTGTGTTCACTTTTTGGGCGCGTTTCTTTCAACGCCCATGTGTTTCCATGTTGTCTATTTGCCGTTCCTCTTCTTGCTGCGCTCTTCTGACATCACTGCCGGGTGCTCTTCTTGCGCGCTGCGGGTCCTTCAGAATGCCAGTCAGCATTGAGTGGTCCTTAATAGAATCGCCACATGTATAGAAAAGGTTGGGTACGTCACCGGGTAATTTGAGCAGGGACCGACCGTCCCGGCATTCCTATAGCCCTAGCACGAAATACTCTGAGAACCAAGACATGCTCTAAGAACAAAGCAAGGTTCTTAGAACATCAGCCCGGTGTGATGAAACAAGACAGCCCCAGCCAGAAAGGTTATGAGAACATCTCGTGGGAACCACAAGAGGCTCTTAGAAAATTTCGGAAGCGGCCAAGAGGGGGGCGTCCAAGAGGGGCGGGCGCTTATCGTGGCCGGCGGCATGTGCGCGGCCCAGCGGGGGGGCCAGGGACGTGATGAAACAAGAAGAGGCGCTGTGAAACCTGCGGAGATCTCATGGCCCACGCCATGAGATCCCGCCCCCCCTGGTCATCCCCCCCTCGCTTCCGCCCCCGAACACTGGCTTGGCAGGGCTATAGGCACGCCGGGACGCTTCGCCACTGCTTGAGCCATGCCTTCTGCGGGGCCGCGACCCCGGCACGCGCAGAGCGAGCGCCCCGGCAGCGACGCCCGCCGGGGCGACGCCGCGCTCGCCGAGAGCGCGGGCGACTGCGCGGCGCGCGGCGGGCGCGCGGCAAGCCCTCTGGCCCGGGCAGGCCGGTCGGAAGCGTCTGGGCGGGATGCGCCGGCAGGGGCAAGACACGAGACCGCTGGGGAGGCGAAGAGGAGGCGAGGAGCAAGGGGGCGGGGAGCGAAGGGGAGATGATGGCGGGGGGAAAAGAGGAGGAGGAGGATGAGGATGAGGAGGGAGGGAGGAGGGAGGGGGGAGGGGGGAGGGAGAAAGAGGAGGAGGAGGAGGAGGAGGAGGAGGAGGAGGAGGAGGAGGAGGAGGAGGGAGGCAGGGGAAGGGGAGAAAGACAAGCTAGCTGCGCTCGCGTCATATCTGACGTCCTACCCCTCCCTCCCATCCCTTACCATGGCGCTGATTTTCTCTATCCGCGGACGCGTGTCGTAGCGGACCTGTGGCTCCGCGCGCGCGTGCGTAGTGGGTGGTGGTGCACGTGCGTGCGTGCGTGCGTGTGTGCGTGGTGGTGGTGGTGGTGGTGGTGGTGGTGGTGGTGGTGGTGGTGGTGGTGGTGGTGGTGGTGGTGGTGGTGGTGGTGGTGGTGGTGGTGGTGGTGGTGGTGGTGGTGGTGGTGGTGGTGGTGGTGGTGGTGGTGGTGGTGGTGGTGGTGGCGGTGCGGCGCGGTGGTGGCGGGCGGATGGGCGCGCGAGAAAAGGCCCGCGCTGGGGCGAGAACGCCATCCTGAACGACGGAGGCCAAACACCGATCCGAAAATGAGGCCCACGCTGCAGCGGGAGCACGATTCGGAACGATTCGGGAGCAGAAATGAGGCCGGCGCCTCAACGAGAGCAGCATTTTGGGAAAAAATGACGCCGGCGCCTCAGCGAGAGTCGTTTCCCGGGATTTCCCGGGAATCCTGTGTAAAAAAACAGTACGCGGAGGGTGCGCGGCCATCACCCGGACGCCATCAGGGGAAGAGGGAGAGTATTTTCATATTGAGTAATTGTAGAGGAGGGAGGGAGGGAGGGAGGGAGGGAGGAGGGAGAACGAAGAGGAGCAGCAAGAGCAGCAGCATGCAGGGCGAGGGCCACGGGCGAAGGGCGTCGAGGGTGGGAAGGGCCTGTCGGCAGGCAGGCCCTCGTGCTGCCTTCGCCCCGGGCGCAGCCACGCGCGCGTCTGTGGCGTCACCTGCGGCGGGACAGGCGCGCCTCCTCCTGCTGCTGCTGCTGCTGATCTTCCCGATCCTCCTCCTCGTCCTCGCGCTCGTCGTCATCCTCGTCCTCGTCCTCCTCCTCCTCCTCCTCCTCCTGCTCCTGGTCCTGCTCCTCCCCCTCCTCCTCCTCCTCCTCCGCCTCCGCCTCCGCCTCCGCCTCCGCCTCCGCCCCTCCCCCTCCTCCTCCTCCTCCTCCTCCTCCTCCTCCTCCTCCTCCTCCTCCTCAGCATCATCATCATCAGCACCAACACAACCACCACCACCACCACCATCATGATCACCACCATCACTACCACCATCACCACCATTATCATTATCATCATCAGCTGCAGCATCAGCATCAGCATCAGCATCAGCATCAGCATCAGCATCAGCATCATCATCATCATCATCATCATCATCATCATCATCATCATCATCATCATCAGCATCATCATCATCATAATAATCATCATCATCATACATCATCATCAGCAGCATCATCAGCATCAGCATCAGCATCAGCATCAGCATCATCCTCCTCCTCATCACCATCAGCATCAGCATCAGCATTAGCATCATCATCAGCAGCATCAACATCAGCATCAGCATCAGCAAGAGCATGAGCATGAGCATGAGCATGAGCATGAGCATGAGCATCACTTTCACCATCATCATCATCATCATCATCATCATCATCATCATCATCATCGTCATCGTCATCATCAGCATCATCATCAGCAGCATGATCATCATCATCATCATCATCATCATCATCATCATCATCATCATCATCATCATCATCATCATCGCCATCATCATCATCATCATCATCATCATCATCATCATCATCATCATCATCATCATCATCATCATCATCATCATCTCCCTCCTCCTCTCCATCCGCCCCCTCCTCCTCCTCCTCCTCTTCCTCTTCCTCCTGCTCCTGCTCCTCCTCCTCCTCCTCCATCGTCATAATCAGTAGAAACATCATCGCCACCGTTGTCACAATCGCCCGAATCCAGATCATACTCGCCAACACATCATCATCAACATCCTCGCCCTCGCCGCCGCCCACGTCACGGACGGCACCAGCCTCCTTGTCGAGCAGGCTGTCCCTCCTGCGGCGTGTGCCACGCAGCAACCCTAACCTAGACTCCGGCCGGACGAAAAGGGGGGCTAGTAAAGCGGGGTTTGAGAATCAGCTCACGCAGCTGACTTTCCCGGCGCCTCCCGAGGAGGCGCCCATGTATCGAGGAATGGGCCCGGCGGCGGGGCCGAAACCAGCTGCATGCAGCAAATTTCGTAACCCCCCCTTTCCCTACCCCCCCCTATCGTTCGGCCCGATAGGCCTCCGATCAGACGGGCGAGCGGGCGGGCAGATGCGAACGGGCGGCCGGGTACGCTCGGGCGGGACCTCCGACTCTCCTGCACGGCCGTGCTCTGGGGAGCGTCGCCGCCTTCATCATTCCCGTTCCCCCTCCGCTCGTCCGCTCGTGGTCGGGCGGGCCCTGATTCTCTTGCCTGGCTCGTCGGCACCTTGACCTGCGCTCCCCCCTTCGCTCCTCCGCTCGAGGTCGGGCGGGCCTGGCGCTCCTCTCGAGCGGCCGTGCCTTGTGCCCCGGAGCTCGTGGACAGACACCTCGATCTCCCTTCTCCCCTCGCTCGTCCGCTCGTGGTCGGGCGGGCCCTGCTTCTCTTGCACGGCCGCCCTCCTCTGCTCTGGAGCTCGTGGACGCCCTGATCTGCGCTCCCTCCTTCGCTCGTCCGCTCGCGGCCCCCCTTCGGGGATCTACTGCTCCGGGTCAACCCAGACCCAGGCCAGCCATGCTCCGCGGGGTCCTGCCAGATCCTGAGGGATCTTGCACCCAAGCCCGGGTCAATGCAACCCCGGCCCTGCAGGGTCAGGCAAGATCCGGCGCTCTGACAGACCCTCGTTTGCATCGACCCCCGTCTCTTGAGCGGGGGCGGCCAGGAGGGGCGTCCAAGAGGGGTGGGCGCAGATCGTGGCCGGCGGCACGTGCGCGGCCCAAGGGGGGGCCAGGGACGTTATGAAAGATAAGAAATAGGAAAAGGCGCCCTGGAATCTGGGGAGACATCATGGCCCACGCCATGAGATCCCCCCCCCTCGTCATCGCCCCTCTTTGCCGCCCACGACTTGAGCCCGAGCCCCCCCCCATGGCCCCTCGGCCTGCCCCTGCTCGGGCCGTGGCCCCCCGCCCTCTCCCCTCCCTCTCTCGTGCAGTGAGCCGGGGCTAGGGCGTGAACGATACTGAAGGACAATAGTCGGCCGCCCTGCATGTGATGCCTCCTCCGTGGGCGGCACTCCACTCCCGGGTACGCACGCTTCGCCGGTCTAACGTTGCTGGGCACGTTTTGCTTGTCTGAAGATGGTGGGTACGCTTTGCGGGTCACTTTGCTGGCGCCCTCCTAGCGTCTGCCCCTGCGCGGCGGCGCTCGGCGCCGCAGCGCGGGGCAGAGGCCCGCCCTCGAGCGGGCGGCCTGGGTCGTGCGGGTTGGCCGGTTTCCCCCGGGGCCGTAGGCGACCCGAGGAGGAGGAGGAGGAGGAGGAGGAGGAGGAGGAGGAGGAGGAGAAGGAGGAGGAGGAGAAGGAGGAGGAGGGGGGGGGGAGGGAGGAGGAGGAGGAGGAGGAGGAGGAGGAGGAGGAGGAGGAGGAGGAGGAGGAGGAGGAGGAGGAGGAGGAGGAGGGAGGACAGGAGGAGGAGGAGGAGGAGGAGGGGTCACCTGAGCCCTTCGGCGAAACCCTCCAGTGCGGAGGGGGGGAGGGAGGGGAGGGGGGGAGGGAGGGGAGGGAGTAGGGGAAAGGGGGAGGGAGGGGAGGGGGGAGGAGAGGAGGCGGAGGATCCCGCAGCAGGAGGAACTCAAGGTTCAGAGGCTTGAAACGCGCAACGGCTCCACGACAGATGGGAGCCCAGAGCGAGAGCGCGATTCCTGGGCACATAATGAGGACGTCGCAAGCGAGAGAGCGTTTCCTGAGTAGCAGGAGCGCACATTCGTACCAAGAATCAACTGTGAGGAGGTCGGAGGCGAAGACTCAGTTCCAAAGCTAGCTGGCGGGAGGAATCCGGCGAGAGCGACTGCCTGAACGGCCAGAACGCAACTCTTCAATCCGCCGACAACTCCGAGGGTCTCTGGGCGTGCGAGGTTCTTCCCACCATATTAGTCCTCCCCAGCGGGCCCCAAAATTGTAAGTCTCGAAAAGGACCCCCCGAAAAAAAGAACCGCCATGTCAAACCGTTGCGTTGCTCCTCCCCTCTTTCCGGCATCCTTGGAGCCTCAGGAGACCCCCACGATTGTCAAGCGCGGGGGGAGCTCCAAGACAGCCCAAGACAGCCTCCAGACAGCGCAGGAGGCCCCCAAAACGCTCCAAGAGGGCCCCTGCGAAGGCCTGTTGAAGCACTGTTCTCAGATGTTCATATGGCGTTTCTATGAGATTCGTGCTCTCGCTTTTCAATACTTCTCTTTGCCCAATACAACGCAAGAAGCCCTCCAGACCAGCCCAACACGGCCAAAGAAGAGGGCCCCCGGAAGACCCCTTGACGGCCCAACAAAGCACCCAGACAGCCAAGAGGCTCATAAAACGGCCACAGATGCCGCAAGGAAGAGCCAAGACGAGTCGGTCCACACCTGGGAACCATCCAGGCAAAATGGCATCTCTCCTCCTCATGCTTGTCCTCCTCCTCCTCCTCCTCCTCCTCCTCCTCTTCCACCTCCTCCTCCTTCCCTTCCTTATCCTACTCCTCCGTCTCCTCCTCCTCCTCCTCCTCCTCTTCCTCCTCCTCCTCCTCCTCATCATCATCAACAACATCATCATCGTCATGGTCATCGTCATCGTCATCGGCATCGTCATCGTCATCATCAGCATCAGCATCAGCATCAGCATCAGCATCGTCGTCATCATCATCATCATCATCATCATCATCATCATCATCATCATCATCATCATCATCATCACCCTCATATTGCCTCCTCATCTCCCCGATCCCCCTCTGCCCACGCCTCATTCCACACATCGTCCTCCCTCGCCAAGTCCAGGAGGCGGGGAAGGAGGGGGAGCTTTTCTGGAGCCGATCATCACTAAAAAACCCACCCACACGACAAGTTGCACCAACCTCCATTCAACTGTTCCGCCCAGTCGCTCTGGTAGGCTTCGTCCACGACGGATCGGAAGGTGATGAAGCTCTGACGAAGTGTTACTCGTGCTTTTCTGAAACGTCAATGAAGTCGTACACTGCAACTGAGTCACGCCCATTGACCTGATGTGAATACCAGGCGTACTGAAAAACGAGCGAGTGCAAGAACAAAATGATGAGAGCACATATTACGATGACGATCCATGCTGTGATTTTACATCCGAGGGCTAGCGCTAGCCAGACAGCTGCAGCTCGTTGCGAATATCTGCTACAGAAAGGTGCAAACAGCGTATCCGAAACCCAATGAGCACCTCGGCACTGCGGTAACCAGATCACCAGACACTCCAACAACGTACAGACATAACCAAACAAGACCCATCGAAGTCGACCAAGAGGCGAATCACTTCCATGCTGCCCAGTGCCGGTCCTGGTAGTGCCAAATGACAGGAAGCCAAGCATGCATCCCTTGCAAGCAAAGTATGAAGCCCAGGCCACCAATGCGTCTGCATGTGACGGGATGACTGCGATGACCAGGGCCGATGCAAATGTTGAAAAAAACGGCACTCTCCACACGTGTCGGCGCTGACAGTACTGCACCTGACAAGATCTCAAGGTTCGTAGCGCGCAAGCCCCATCGATTGCGCCGATGAGGCAACGAGGCCTTCGCCACACAAACCAAATCGACAAGAGCACAGGGCAGACGACTCCTGCGCAGAAAAGGCGCAATGCTGCCGCGTCCTCCCCGGGCACCTGCCTCCTGACCTGCCACCAGAGCCAGTGGCTGGGGAACAGCGGATACCAATACCACAGCCAGGGCTTGACGACATTGTAGACTGGACTGTTGAAATGCAGCGCAACCAACCTGTTGTTCTCCTTTCGTTAAAGGCTTAACGACTTCTGCCGTCCTTCGACTCGCGCTGGAGCGGCCGCGAAGTGCTCGAACTTTCCCTGGAGATCTCTGGATTTATCTGGATTTATCCAGATTTATCTAGATTTACCTGGATTTACCTCGATTTATCTGCATTTACCTGGGTTTATCTGGCTCGATTCTCACAAGTCGATTGGCGAAAAGTCGACAAGCCCTAAGGGATCCTTCTCCATCCCGTAGAAGAACTCGTCGAGGCTTCGCGAGGGAGGCCACCACGAAACCGGTGCCCACGCTGGGCCGGCGAGGACCACGGGCAGATGATTGTAACCCTCCGGCAGGGTCTGACACCGCCTCGCCGCCGAGGCCGAGCGCACCTGCGACCAACGCCGAACCTTCCCGTGGGAGCACCAGGCGGAGATCGCCTCGTTGAGGAAGCCCTGCGGCCCCCCGTTGTAGGACTGGAAGCCGCCGGGGCCAGGCTTCGTGCCCTCCAGCAGGAAGCGGAAGAGGTCGGCGCTGGGCGTCAGCACCTGAAGACCACTGTTGAAGCGCCCCTCCGTCTCCCGCAGGGAGCGCGCAGCACACCACTCGCCGCAGTCGAACACGTGGTCGAGATTGGAGACGACGAGGAAGTCGCTGTCAAGGAATACGATCTTCGAGAACTCGGTCAGGTTGTATACCTGCAACATAGAAAACCGGTGCTGAGCTTTCAGGCTCGCGTCGAAAGGGTTCACTAGTTGGGGAACCACCCGGACGTCCCACAGCTCGCTAGCCAGTTCCTCCCGGAGGCGATCCGACGGCACAAAAGTCGTCAGCAGTACACGCGGCCACTTGCATCCTGCGAGCGTCAAAGACTGTGCCAGAGTACGGGCCGCAAGCAGCCACTCTGGGCTTGAAACCAATGTGAGGTACACGTTTCTGGTTTAAGTCCGGCGTGTCCCCCTACAGGAAGATTTTTGACGAAAAATACAGATACCCAAAACATTTTCCAAAATGGTCAAAATACTAAAGAAATATTCCTCAGACTATTTTGAACTATTTTTGAATATTCCCCCTGTAGAATGACAGGCCCGACGTAAATATGGTTGCCGAGCTGGCCTCGGCTGCATGTGCAGACGTATCCCGGGCAACTGCTGCCGCGCCGCGCGGAAGGAAAACCGCCGCCGCCGCCGCGGACACGAGGAGCGTGCAGCTCAGCCCGCGCCTGTGCGCCATGAAGATACCGCTGGCCACGTGGAGCGAGCGCGCTGAACCGAGCATGGGCTTGGGAAGACCAAAAGGTACCGAGACCGCTACTCCCCGGACCTCTCCCGGGGTGCGTTCGGACCAAAGTTTCGATACGAATCCAACGGCACTGATGAGGGCATCCGAAGAGGCCCCAAAGACGGGAAAACGGGCGGAGGGTAGCGGTACGTCCACCTTTTCGTCCTCTAAGGGATGGCACTGACCCCTGAAGTCGCTTTGAGCAAATACTCTGTCAGCTACAGGGTGGACGTCAGGTTTAGAAGAAGAACGAACCTCAAAAACAGAAACGTTTGGCGCTTCACGCGGATTTCTTGAATGTGCACTGGAACTCCATTCGGGTCGGGCGAAAGGGGGGGATAGCAAACGGGGGGTTTGAGAATCAGCTCACGTAGCTGATTTTCCCGGCGCCTCCCGGCGCCAGAGGCGCCCATGTATCGAGGAATGGGCCCCTCGGTGGGGCCGAAACCAGCTGCATGCAGCAAATTTCGTAACCTCCCCTTTCCCAATCCCCCCCTTTCGCCTGGCCCGACCCATCCTTGGCGCGCGGAGCGCGCAAGGGACGGCGCCGGAGGCGCCGCCGGGGGGGCCCAGCGCGGATCCGAGAAATCCGCACGGAACACCACACATTTATGTTCATGTTATTTCCCAACCATCATGTGGTGTTGGGTCCTCGTTTTGAAAAGACAGCGCACCGCGTCTGCTCTTTCCTTCCCCCTCCCCCTCCTCCCTCCCCCATCATCAGAACCATCATCATCATCATCATCATCATCATCATCATCATCATCAGCATCATCTTCATCATCATCATCATCATCAGCAGCATCATCATCATCATCATCATCAGCATCAGCATCATAATCAGCATCAGCATCAGCATGATCATCATCATCAGCATCATCATCATCATCATCATCATCAGCATCATCATGATCATCATGATCATCATCATAATCAGCATCATCATCAGCATCAGCATCATCAGCATCACCATCATGATCATCATCATCATAATCAGCATCAGCATCAGCATCAGCATCAGCATCAGCATCAGCATCAGCATCAGCATCAGCATCATCATCATCATCATCATCATCATCATCATCATCATCATCATCATCATCATCATCATCATCATCATCATCATCATCATCATCATCATGGCCATCACCATCATCATTACCACCACAATCATCATCAGCAACATCATCATCAGCAACATCATCCTCATCATCCTCATCCTCATCCTCATCACCATCATCGTAATCATCATCAGCATCATTCCAACCCATCCTGTGTTGGGTCCTCGTTTTGAAGAGTCAGCGCCCCGCGCCACCTCACTCCAGCTGCCCCCCTCCCGCTGCCCCCTCCCTCCTCCTCCTCCTCCTCCTCCGCCTTCTCCTCCTCCTCCTCCTCCTCCTCCTCCTCAGCATCATGACACCGTTCGTGGCCCCACAGGGAGCTCCACCGAAGGCCTCAGTGGCAAAAGTTCGCGTGCGGTTCCCCGCCCATTTCGGCACACCCCTCACACGGCTCGTGGTCCCACAGGGAGACCCGTCGAACGACGGGCCCAGAACGCGGTACAGTCAACCCGTACAGTAAGGATACGCGGTAAGGGCCTTGGACGCCCATGCCGAGGCTCTTCGAGCGGGGCTGGCCTTCGAAAGTGATTGAGGATGGGCCGAAGATGACCGAAGAGGCAAGGATGCAAGGGTACCCTTGGGAAGTCGCTCATCCTTCCTGTGCGGGCTGACTGTATCCATAACTGCTCCTGGATGGGCCCCTCGCCAGGCTGACTTATCCTCCACGGTAAGTTACAGTGATGATCACGGCCGCACTGCCCACGAGCCAAGGGCGTCTCGGGCCGTCGCCCCCGCAGCGAAGGAAACAAAAAAACAACGACGGCTGCGGCGTGCCGAGCCGCCGCCCGCCGTGCCTGGGAGCGATCTCGCGAACTCCTCCCCTCCTCCTCCCCCTCCTCTCCTCCTCCTCCTCCGCCCCTGAATCGGCCTCCTCACGATCGAACAACAGAGAACAAACGAGCACAATCTCAACCCCGTCCCCCAGGAGGAGGAGCGCCGCAAAAGGAACAGCTCCTGCCAAGGCCGAGCCTCCCCCCGCACGGCCTTGGCCCGTGGACGACCACGACCTCCCCCCGAACGGCGCACGCTCTCTCATCCGGCATTTCGACATTGTCGACTACACGCCAGAGTGACCCTGGGTAAGAGTGACCTTTGGTGCGCGGCTTTTGGGGGACCGCGGGGGGACCAAACACAAGCGCGCAAGACGCTACTATCGCATCGCGTTTGGCGACCAGGGGAACCCATTTGGCCGGCACCAAAGGTCACTCCGGCGAAAGGTCACTCCTAATTACGTCTAGTCGACATTGGGCGGAAGGGGGTGGGCCTGCCTCCGGCCAAGTCCGTGAACGATCACGACCTCCCCCTGAATGGTGTACGTTTTCTGAATCGGCGTTTCGGCATTGGGCGGAAGGGGGGGGAGGGGGCGGGCCTGGCTCCGGCCAAGCCTGTGAACGATCACGACCTCCCCCTGAATGGTGCATGTTGTCTGGTTCGGTATTTCGACATTGGGCGGAAGGGTGGGGGAAGGGGGCGGGTCTGGCTCTGGACCTCTGCTTACTGCGGCTGTTCGCAAACAGTTCGTCCCAGGGGCGGGGATTCCACCTGCCTGAAAACAGGCGCCAAGAACAGCCAAGATCTACTCCATCGGGTTGGGGGGATGGGGGGGATGCGAGGGCCCGCGCCGATCAGCCAAACTTGGCGGCGCGCAGAGGGGGGTTAGGGGGAGGAGGGAAGGCTTCTTGGAAGGGGGCTGCTTCTTAGAAGGCGCCGGCCTCACATGTATAGAGCAGGCCCGCGCCCTTCCAGAGGCGGGGGTGCTTCCGAGAAGCCTTCCCCCCCTCCCCCCGTGCCCGTCGGTCTGCGCGAGCCCGACAAACAACGGATGAGAAAACGACCACGCGGGACCTGCTGCCCGGCCTCCCACCCGCCTCGGACCGTCCGCGCCGGGGCTCGGGTCGGGCGAAAGGGGGGGATAGCAAGGGGGGGGGTGAGGATCGGCTCATGTAGCTGATTTTCCCGGGCGCCCCCCGGCGCCGGAGGCGGCTATGTATGGAGGAAGGGGCCCCTCGGCGAGGCCGAAACCAGCTGCATGCAGCAAATTTCGTACCCCCCCCTTTCCCAATCCCCACCCTTTCGCCCGGCCCGGCCCGAGAGGCAGGGCCTGTGCGCGCGAGGGCCTCTGGGCGCCCGCGGCCGCGGCAGGCGCTCAGCGTGCGGGCGCACGGCAGCGGCGCAGCGCACGGCACCCCGCCGGGGCCTCTGGCCTGGCCCGCAGAGCTGCCCAGCGCCTCCCGACGGGCTGCCCCGGGGCCCTCTCGGGCACTCTTGGGGCACGGCAGTCGTCCTGGTCAGTCACTTGGCCAGGGTCCCGCCGTCATGGCATCCGAGCACCACGTCTGAGCCCCGACGCCCCCTCGAAACCAGCGCACCTCTGCATACGAGTCCGCCGGTGCGTGCCCGAGGCGGCGGACATGCCCGGGCACAGGGAGATCAGCGGACCGGCTGGGCTGGATAAAGTGTCAGGGCATGCCCCGAGCACTTTGCAGTCGGACCGAGGCCAGCAGAGCCTCAATCAAGAACATGAGATGGGACGCGCAGAGACATAATAGTACTATATGTTATACTTGAAGGCGCGCGTCCGACGCCAAAAAATAGTAGACCGATCTTGTAGCATATCGTTTCCCGAGCGGTGTGGCCAGAAAGCGCCCGCCACGACGCATATTAGATTTCTCGATGCGCGCGTCGCCCCTGAGGGGGCGACGCGCATATAGTATAACTATGTTGGGGTGACGCCGATGAGACCCATACCCTTCTCGGGATGCACACGAGCACCCAACAAACACGAAAAACAGCGGGGCACCCTCCCCGAACCGACCTCGATCTTCTCCCTCGGTCCGCGCGTGCCCGATCCGCTCGCGAAGAGGCTTGCTTCGGGCCACCTAGCTGTGCGCCCCGCGCCACTTGACGCACGACGCTAAGCCTTCCCCGAGGAAGCCAAACACTTCTCAGTCAGAAGGCTGAGGCGTTTCTGGGAAGCCCCGACGCCTTCTGAAAAGGCCTTTTCCTTCGCACTTCCCCCCTCGCTCGTCTCCGAATGTTGTTTCCGAAATGCTGTTAACGCTCCGGGCAGCAGACTTCTCCGCCCCCGGGGCCACGATTGACGCTCTGAGCGTTCCGGCATTCCGCTTGCTCGTCTGAACCGCTCATCACTCTGAACCCAAACAGCTGGGGACTATGGAAATAACGCTCAGCCGTGCTCGACCATTTTAGTTCAGTTTGGTTCGGCTTTGCGTCGATGTTTGGCTGAGCTCGCATCGGTTAGCGTGGTTTGGTCTAGTCTGGTGTCGCTTCGCTTTAACCTGTCCGCAGTGGAGACCGGGGAGCAGGAAACGGAGGATGGGGCAGGACGAGAAGCAAGACGAAGGGCAGAGGGAGGGGAAGAAAAAGGACAAGGGGTGAGAGGTTACGGGGAGGCGAAGGCGGAGAGGGGTGAAGGGGGAGGGTTTCGAGAAAAGAGGGCGCGGGAAAAGGCGAACGCGGAGCGAAGGACGTAGGATTGAACGGGATGGACCCCTCTCGCGGTGCGAGCCGAACGAACGTCAACGACACCTTAGCTGCGAAGCCTCGCCCAATTCTAGGACGTATCTCTCGGCTGGACGCCCTGCACAAATCAAGGCACCACCTGCGTGTGGCTACGTGCGCGGCTTAGCGGATTACAGCGATCAGGCCGCATGGGGACGCGAGCGAGGACTGATGACATGTGAAAGGGCGCACGAAACTTCGAGGGGCAGCACGACACACACGAGCAAGCTGGAAGACGCACAATGCAACGAACCAGAAATCTAGACAAGAGGCGCCGCCGTTGCACTCCTCAACGGCTACGGCTGCAGCAAGGGAAATGCCAGCTTGTGATACATGCACCTAATTGGGGCGCGTGTTGAACAAATGTTCTCCTGTTCGAACGGACGGGGGGGGGGGCGCCCGCCAATTGGAAACACACGGCGGCAGCACTGGTAATCAAAGCCGACAAACCCGGCCGAAAGCTGGAGGGCGACAGGCGCGACGCAAGCGGCACCGCTTCAACGGAAAGGGGGCAGCAGCGCCTCCGCTATAAGTACTCCAGGCTCCATGCTGAGTGCGGGGGAGTGGCGCCGCCCCCCCGTCCTGTGCAATCGCCGCGCGACGCAGAAGATACCGACCCCCCGTCGCGAGGCGACGGCGAAGCGAGGCGTTACCAAGGCTGGGTCGATGCCGGAACGCGTGCGTTAGCGCGACCACAAAAAAACCTTCCACAAGAAACCCAACCCTGAAACCCCACGACATCCATGGATTTCTGGCGTGGGAACGTCGCGCCTGCCACAGCAAAACCCCCGATACCCAAGACACCAAGGGCACCCTGGAGGCAAGCAGGGTGTTTCTTGGCATGGACCCCCACTGTACAGCGCAGGCGGTGCAACGAGGGCTGGCACAGGCTGCTCGCGCTATCGGTGGAACTCCACGGGGCAAGCACATGGTGTGCGAACACCTGGCACGGGGGACCGTGGGGACTTCCCCCGTGACCAGTTCTTCATCCTGGGTCGATTTCTGACGATCCCAGCGCCCGTGGAGGGCCCCGAGAGCCCGAAAGCAAGGAATCACCTCAGGACCCATTCCCCTCAGGGCCCACTTCCCCCAGGAGGAGGAGGAGGAGGAGGAGGAGGAGGAGGAGGAGGAGGTAACACACGTCCTGAGGCGAAGCATCATCGACCGGGGCAGGACCCCGCGCACTCCTCGCGGAGCGCGGCGCGACTGCGAGAGGCGGGCGGGAGGGGGCACCAGCGACAGGGGCGCTGGGAACACGCCGCCGGCGCCGGCGGCGTGGGGCGTGAGCAGGTCCAGGGGCGCCGCGTCCCCCAGCACCGTGGGGCGAGGCTGCGGCGAGGGCGTCTGCGCCGCCAGGCACCTCCGGGCGGCGGGCGGAGTGCCGAAGCTGAGAGCCGCATGCTCGCTTGCAAGGGGGGGGAGGGCGGTCCCTGCGCTGAGCCTCCATGCCGGCCTCTGGGGGCCGCTGCCAGGCCCCAGGAGCGCCAGGGGAGTCGGCCCCAGGATGCAGGGCTGGCCCGGAAGAGGTCTGGGCGGGCACAGCGAGGGGGCCGCGCGCGTGCTGCATCGACGGCTCGAGGACGTCGCGAGCTGCTGCTGCTGCTGCTGCTGCTGCTGCTGATGCTGCTGCTGACGCTGCTGATGCTGCTGCTGACGCTGCTGACGCTGCTGGCTTCGAAGTCGGGAGGAGGGAGGAGGGAGGGAGGAGCGAGGAGCGAGGAGATAGGAGCGAGGAGGGAGGCAGCGAGGAGGGAGGAGGGAGGAGGGAGGAGGCAGGAGGGAGAAGGGAGGAGGGAGGAGGGAGGAGGAGGAGGATGAAGAGGAGGAGGAGGAGGAGGAGGAGGAGGAGGAGGAGACGTGCTCGTCGAGGTCGAGCTAGTGTCACTGCAGCGCCCTGGCCCTGCGCACGCCAGTGCCCGTGCCGCGCTGCCGCTCCTGCTCCTGGCGGTGACTGCCGCTCCTGCCTCTGGTTTGGGTGGGCCGCCGCTGCTGCTGCTGCTGCTGCTGCTGCTGCTGCCCGTGGTGCCGCTGCTGCCGGGGCACCTCCTCCTTGCCTTTCTCCTCACACGCTTCCTCCTCCTCGTCCTCCTCCTCGTCTTCCTCCTCCTCCTCCTTCTCCTCCTCCTCCTTCTCCTCCTTCTCCTCCTCCTCCTCCTCCTCCTCCTCCTCCTCCTCATCATCATCATCATCGTCATCGTCATCATAATCACCATCATCACCATCATCACCATCATCATCATCATCATCATCATCATCATCATCATCATCATCATCATCGTCATCGTCGTCATCATCATCATCAAACATCATCAATAATCATCATCAGCATCATCATCATCATCATCATCATCCTCATCAGCATCAGCATCATCATCATCATCATAATCAGAACCATCATCATCATCATCAGCATCAGCATCAGCATCAGCATCATCATCAGCAACATCATCATCATCCCCACCTGCATCTGCATCATCATCATCAGCATCAGCAGCATCAGCATCAGCATCAGCATCAGTATTATCATCTTCACCAGCAGAATCATCATCATCGCCGTCGTCGTTGTCGTCGTCATCATGATCATCATCATCACCATCATCAGCATCAGAATCCACATCAGCATCAGCATCAGCATCATCATCAACAACAACATCATCATCAATATGATCATCTCGCCGACTCCTCGACCTCCTCGTTCCCATTATTCTGTACCGCGCTCCTCCTCATCCTCCTCCTGGCTTCTTCTTCCCCATGATCATAACCCACCACATTAGCAGAACTAGCATCTGTATCAGCAACATATTCATCATCTTCAGCCGCATCATCATCAGCAGCATCAGCATCCGCATCCGCAGAATCAGATTCACCATCAGCATCATTATCCTTATCCTCATCCTCAGCATCATCATCACCAGCAGCTACATCAGCATGGGCATCAGCATCAGCACCAGCATCATCAGAATCAGCATGATTATAATCATCATCAGCATCAGCATCATCCTCGTCATCATTACCACCACCATCACCATCAACATCACCATCATCATCAGCAGCACCATCAACATCATCAGCAGCATCATCAGCATCAACATCCATCTGTAATCTACCATCTATCACCGATCATGTGCCATCAATACGCCAGCCTCCCTTGCGGAGGACATCGGGCTGCGAGGGTCGGGCTGCAACAACTGAGCGCTCATGTATACATATGGATACATACATATATACACAATGCTGTGGGGCATGGGCTCGGCAACCTGGCGACCGAGATTCCTAGTCTCGAGCTCTCGGAGCACAAACTGATCGGCTTCTCTTAAGCTATGCGGTGCAACCTACGTGGTACAAGCTATGTCTTTAAGCTATGTGGTGCAAGCTAAGCCGTACAAGCTAGGTGGTGCACTACACATACTGTAAGATGTGAGATGCAAGCTACGTAGCGAAAGCTATGGGCCGTAAGCTCTGCGGTGTCAGCTACGTGGTGCACGCTGCGTGGTGCAAGCTGCATGATGGAGGCTATGCAGTGCAAGCTATGTCGTGCAAGCTACGTAGTACAGGCCAAGTGGTGCAGGCAACGAGGTGCCCATGTGGTGTAAGCTCTGTACACCGGATCACACTACACGCGCCCACAGGGCGCCAACGACCGGACAGGGGCGGCAACGTGGCGAAACCTCGGCACACCCATCCAGCGCACGAAGCGCCCACGAGGCGCCCACGGGGCGGCCACGGGGCACCCACGTGGCGACACCTCGGCGACGCCGATCCCGGCGCACGAGGCGCCCGCGGGGCGCCCACGAGGCGGCCACGGGCACCGACGTGGCCGAGACATGGTGCGCCCACGAAGCGCCCACGTGCGGCAACAGGCTGCAGCGTGTCGAAGCCTCGACAGACCCGTCCAATGACTCAGGAGCTGAGGGAGAAGCCCCATTCGCAGACACTGTTGGGTAAACCAGATAGACGCAACCATGACAGTTACATTACCTGTCACACATCATGGCACCGAAGCCGCGCCACCTCGTAAAAAAGTATGGGCCAGCGCCCTGGGGGCCACGCCACGCCCCCCTCGTCCGGCCGTAAGACCAGTAATCATGCGCCTTGGAAGCCACGACCCCTCGTACATAAACTGGCTCGCACATTCGAGACCACCACCATCCTCCGAGGTCGCAACATGGTTCGCACATTCAGGGCCGCGGTCCGTCGCACACAAAAAGATCCGCGTCATCGAGGTCGGGGCCTCTTGTAGAGAACAATGTGATACGCGCTTTCGACAGAATGACCCCCCCCCCTGTAAAAACAACCGCGCCTTCGAGTCCACGTTCCTTCGTGAGGAAGCACTGATCCGCGCCTTCGGGATCACGAATCATTCCAGAAACAATGGGCTAGCGCCTTCAAGACCACGATCTCCTTTAAAGAACAAGTGGGTCCTCGCTCCGACCCCGCCAGTCAACCGGCCTGCCTTCGAATCAGTCAGCAAGCTTGCCAACCAACCCTTTAGCCAACCAGCTAGCCAGCCAACCTTTAAACCGTCCATGTGCAGCCTGGCCACCAATTCGCCGGCCCAAGGGGCCAGAGGCGTGCTAAGACCTCCGGTAACTACTTAACAATATTTCTAGTTCGCGCGCGCGGGGCGGCCCCTGGGGGGCCCCGGACGAAAAGTACCCCGGCCGATCCCCGGATGACCCCCGGGCGATCCCCAGGGGGGAGGCTATTTTTCGCCACCCCTCACGAGGATCGTGGCCTCCGAGGGGGGGGGTCTGCCAACGACTACCCCCCCTCCCGCCCCAAGGGGCCCCCAAGAGCCCCCCAAGAGGCCCCAGGGGAGCCCAATGCGCCGCCAAGGAGCCCCAAGACGCTCCCAAGAAGCCCCCAAGACGTCCCCTAGAGGCCCCAAATAGCGTTCCAGGGCCGGCGGAATGAGCGAAGCGATTAAATAAACCAATGAATCAACCCACCCTCTTCCCTCCTCCTCACTATCATGTTCTTCCTCCGCATATTGAGCGCCGTCAAATCCTGTTGTTCCTCCTCCTCCTATTTCTGCTCCTCCTCCTCCTCCTCCTCCTCCTCCTCCTCCTCCTCCTGCCTCCTGCCTCCTGCTCCTCCTGCTCCTCCTCCTCCTCCTTCTCTTCCTCCAACTCCTCCGCTGCTTTGGCGCCTCCTCTTGAACCTCCTGATCATCCTCAGTAAACTGCTCCTCATCCTCTTCCCTCAACCTCCCCGTCCTCCTCCTCCTCCTCATCCTCCACCTCCTGGAGCCCTCTTGGGCCCCGACCCTTTGGGGCCTCCTCGGCAGCGACTGTGGGGCATCTTGGGAACCATGGGCTCCTGCTGGGGGCACTCTCGAGCTGGCTGGAGCACTCGGCAAAGACTTTGGGACGTCTTCGGGGAAACCAAAGGGTACCGATGCCGCTACCCCCCAAACATCTCCCCGGGTGCATTCTGACCAGAATTTGGAGGCGAATCCAGCGGTGGCGACGAGGGCCGCCCAAGAGGCCAAAAAAGGGGAAAACGAGCCAAAGGTAGAGATATGGGTACCTTTGAAGGGGCCCTGGGACACACACACACACACAGACACACACACATACACACAAATAAAAGGATTCCCATACTTTCATATATGTTCTGGGTTTGTGTTTTCCCCCCCTACTGCCCATATGTTACCTCTATTGCCTGGGGAATCGACGATGAATCGTGTCTGTGAGTTTTTGTTTGCCCTCCTGAACCTTCTCCTCCTCCTCCTCCGACGCTCGGCAGAGACTGCCGCGGGACCTCTTGGGCACCGTGGGCTCCCGCTGGGAGGGGCACCCGTGGAGCTGGCTGGAGCACCCGCCTGGGCCCCGCGGCTGCCCTGCGAACAATAATGATAACAAGCATGATAATAATAACAATACAAATGGTAATAATACGAATAATGGTACTAATAACAATACTAATAATAGTAAGATGATGATGATAATGGAAAACAAGTTCAATCAATAATAAGAGCACTAATAATCATAATACATTCAAGGAAGAAGAAAGAAAACGAACAAGAATAATACGAATAAATATGATAAGAGCAATAATGATGAGGGGCCTTCCCGGGCACCCGAGCGGGGGGCTCTTCGGAGGGGGGGGAAGGGGGGGGGGGCGCGCCCTTTGGAGGACTCTTCCCCGTAGCCACAGGACTCAGGAGGACCGCCGACCCGTCGCAGGGCCCGAGGAGGCACCCGCATCCCCCCAAGGTCCCCCCGAGGAGCTTTCCGCCCTCTCTCTGGCACAGGGACGCAGAAGTAAATATCGAACTTGATAGGGAAAGGAAGCGGCCGCCATGCTGCCTCTAGGGGTCCCCGCATGTTCCCTGGGGTCTCCAGGAACCCACTGGGGCCTCCAGGCGCTCGCATCCGCACGCGAAGGCCCGCATCATGCCAAGGCGCCCTGAATCAATAATGACAGGCTGATTACCGATCCTCCTCCTCCTCCTCCTCCTTCTCCTCCTCCTCCTCCTCCTCCTCCTCGTCTTCCTCCTCCTCCTCCTCCTCGCCCTCCTCCTCCTCCTCCTCCTTCTCCCTCCTCCCTCCTCCTCATCCTCCTCGTCTTCCTCCTCCTCCTCCTCCTCCTCCTCCTCCTCCTCCTCCTGCTGCTACGGCGGCGGCCACCCGGGCCGCACGTCAAGCATGCGGCGCCGCGCGCGCGCGCCCGGCGCGCGCGCCCAGCGCGCGCGCGGGGCTGCGTTGGGGCGCGGCCCCGCTGCGCAGGCCCGTCCGCAGACGGCTGCCGAGCCTGCGCGGTGGCAGCGCCGCCGCCAGCCGTGCCGGGCGTCGTCCTCCCTCGCCGTCGTTCCTCGCGTCGTGGCCGTCGAAGGGAGGGGGGGGGCGAGTGCGAGGCGAGGGTGGTGCGAGGGGGCGAGGGGGAGAGGCGGGGAAGACTACGAGCTGCAGGGATCGAGGGATCCATGGACAGACGGGCGAGGTGGCAAGGATGCGACATGAGGAGGAAAAAGGTAGATGATCAGACAGGGAGATGGAGTGGGGCGACGAATAATTGAAGACATGAGAGGACGCGGAAGGGGAAAGGATGATAAGAGCCCAGCCGCTCCTCTTTTGAATGTGCACTTGATGTACACATACAATCCTACACGGAATGGGATCTGGGGAATCGCACAAGCTGGGCCCGTCGTTAGAAGATCCGACGCCGCCTGACGCCGTCGTTGCCGTTGCGTCGTCCTTTTGCTGGAGGGCCCGCCGATCTAAGCAGTGCCAAGTCGGCGGTGGACAAACCTCCCTTCAGCGAACCTCCCCTTAATGAAAACGGCCTGGGACCGAAACCGACGGACCTGGACCCGCAAAAATGACGGCCGCGACGCCCTCTCGCGAACCGCAAACGGTTAATTTGCTAATCGACGTGTCAGGGTAGGAGGTCTACGTAGCACCCCGCAACTGCGGATAAGAGTGAGGGGGCGGGCGCGGGCGACGCGGGCGTCGAGCCGGCGGACCTCGTGGCCCTCACCTTCCCTGTCGGTGGCGCCCTCCTCCTCCTCCTCCTCCTCTTCTTCCTCGTCCGCGTCCTCGTCCTCATCGTCGTCGTCGTCGTCGTCCGCCTCCTCCGTTCTCCACCGCCTCCTCCTCCACATGCCGCCAATGTGTCGATCGACTCGGGGCACGAGGCGAGCGACATGCCGAAGCATCGAACGGCGGCTGGCCGACGCGGAACTGCCAAAGGAACAGCAGGCGAACCAGGGTCGAAGCACCCACGCCTGCGTGCACGAGCGGGCGCCGAGCGCCTTTTTTTTTGTTCGCGGAGAGCCCTGCTGGGCTTAAGTCGGGCCTTTCCCCCTACAGCCGATCTTCGACGAAACAGCGTTCCCAGACTATCTCTTGACTATTTTTGGGATACTCCTCCTGTAGAGGGACAGGCCCGATATAATGCTCAGCCACAGAAGCATACCGAACTCACCGCTGGTATTTGTGCGGGCCACCCACGCTCTCAACCGGGGCGTCTGACGCTCGACGTCTGTCACGCCGCGCACAGGTAATTGTTTCATACCGCACAAGTGTTTCACAATTTCACGCTTGAATATTGTTTTTATTTTCACACCTCGCCGGTAATGTCGGTCCTTGCCGGGGCAGGCGGACTTCCCGCCTCCCCACGGGCCGCTCTGCTGCTCTGCGCCCACTGCATGCCAGAAACCTTCGCTGCTTCAATGTAGAGTTCGCCTTATCCACCTGCCGTCATTCGAACACACCCAGGCGCAGCCAAAGAGGGCTGTGTCGTTTCTGGGGCGGGGGGGGCAACGATGTTTAGTTGACGTGGGGCAAGAGGGCAAAAGACGCCACGCGACAAACGAGGAAAGCGCCATGCGCGGCAGAGTCACAGCTGACGGGCGGAGTGCGGCGAGAGGCGGGGCGAGGCGCAGAGCGCGGCGGGGCCAGGAAGCGAACGTGCACGCTCTTGCCGGCGGGCGCGCCAAGGGGCAGGTGGAAGGGGTCGGGCCCCTCGGAAGGCGGCATGGCCTCGGAGGAGGCCTGGAAAGCCTCTGGGAATAGGGCTCGCGCTCCCGTGGACTAGGGATCCGTGGATCTGGCGCGTGGGCGCCAGAGCCACGCCTCGAAGAGCAGAACTACCCCCCAGAGCGTGGCGCCGATGCCGCCCGATGTGGCGACGGGCCGCGCCGAGTCTGTAGTTGCGCAAAGGCAGCTGCGGCTCGGCGGCGAGCGGGGGGGGGGGAAGAGGAGGAGAAGGCCCTCTCAGGAGGCCGGGGGGCTTCTCAGAGGCCTTCCAGCCTTCTGACAGGTCTTCTGCGTCTTCTCACGAGGCTGGGGAACCTCCGAACCTTCTGACAAGGTGCGCCACTTCTCATTTCCCCCCCGGGGGCTGGCCGCCGAGTCGCCCATCCACGCGCCTTGATCCCTGGTTGCGCTTCCTCGACAGGAAGCGGTGCGTCCGCGCCACCGGCGCATCGATCGCCTGTGTGCACAACAGCATGTAGGGGAGCCCAGCCCCCCCCCCCCCCAGCAGCTGATCGTGAGCGATACCCACGACCGTTACCCTGAGGAGGGTTTCTGTTTTCTTCGAAAAAAAACGTTCACGAAGCATCTTTAGCTCGCCGAGAGAGACAAACAAAACAGACAAATAAAACGAACGCCCCTGCGCCCACCCCCGGCGCGCCACCAACCTTCGACTCTCTTCTCCAGGCCCCGTGAACTCTCTGACCTCGCTGCCCCAGAGGGAGGGTGGATCGGCGGCGGGACGGGGGTGACGGGGAGGAGGCGTAAGGGGGGGGCAGGATGGGGGGGGGGACGGAGGGGGCATAACGCAGCCCCGACCGTGGTGCTGGACGCACTGCGGCAGTGCCAGGCACGCACTGAGGGGGGAGCGTTACGTTATGGGGGGATGGGATGGGGGGGGGAGGGGGCATAACGTGCGCTATGGCACAGAGGGTAAACAAAACACGCTCAAACGAGAAGGGGCTGGCCTTCTCAGAAGGCTGGGAACCTCCCTGGCCTACGGAGAACTTCTCCGAGCCGTCCCCGACGGCACGGAGCACCTCCTCTCACGAGGCCGGCGGCCTCCCGAGAGGGCCTCGCTGCCTTCTGAGAGAGCCTCCTCCTAAGGAGGAGGCCCTCTCAGTTCCGCTTCCGCCCCTCACCACCCACCACTTCCACTCCCTCTTACTTCCACTCCCTAAAGAGACGGCCCTCTCCTTCTGAGAAGGACCTTCCCACCTCCACCCCCTCCCCCGCCATCGCTCGGACGCCAACTCCTCCTGCACCTGCCTACTTCGTGCGTGCGCTTCTTCGCACGGATCGCCAAAATTGCTCTGCGACGGCTCCTGCCGAGAACACACTGACTACCTACCAGACCACCCCAACCCAACCCGAAGACCCGAATTTGACCCTTGGGGGGGGTACGGAGTCCATGTGTTTTTTCAATGTTCCCCGACCCCCCCCACTGGAAATCGAGGATAAGTTTGGGCCTTCGGGTTGGGTTGGGGTGGTTTGGTGGGTGGTGACACACGCACACGCACGCACGCACGCACGCACGCACGCGCGCGCGCACGCACGCACGCACGCGCGCACACGCGTGTCCGAGCGAAACGCCACGCCCCTCGCTCGCCGCCGACTGGAAGCGCGGGCTGACGCGGCGAGCGGCGGGCGACGAGCGCACGCGTGGAGGGGGCCCAACTGCCCCTGCCTCCCCCCTCGCCGGCGCCCCCGCGGAGGGGGCAGGAGAGCCCAGCACCGGCTCGGCCAATCGGACCGGTCGAGATGAGCCGGAGGGGCGGAGATCGGCAGCCGCAATCGGGAAGCACCGAGTCGGCAGAGATATCGGCCGGCCAGCAGGCCACCGCCGGGGCGTCGTAGCACACCTAATTAGGGATCCGCGGAGTCGGGCCGGACCGGAACCGGAAACCAGCGAAGTCGAATCGGGTCGAAGAGCCTGTTTTTTTTTAGATTCTGGCAAGTTTACTTGCATGGACGGGAGGGGGGGGGCTGAGCCTGAAGCAAGCCGCAAACGACTTGCACGTTCGGGGGGGCGCGGAAATCACGCAAGTCGAGAGGCACTTGCACGCTATAGGATTCGCTTGAAGAGGGGCGAGGGGGGGGGCGGGGGGGCGAACGCCATGCAAGTAAACTTGCCCGAATCCTAAAAAGCAGACTCTTAGGGATCCGCGGAGTCGGGCCGGACCGGAACCGGAAGCCAGCGAAGTCGAATCGGGCCGAATCTGAGGAGTGCCTCCTCCTCCTCCTCCCCCTCCTCCTCCTCCTCCTCCTCCTCCTCTTTCTGGAGGCGGGCCCCGAGGGAGCGGCCTCGGCGGCGGGCGCTCCCGGAAGGCTCGATCGGCTCCGAGGCCACGGCGCCCCCGGGCGCGCGAGGCCGCAACGGAGGCTCGCGTCGGCCCTGCCCCCGCCCCTCCTCTGCGTGGAGGCCTGCGCACAGCTTGGACGCCCGAAATATCCGGGGTAACTCGGGTCCGGGGTAACTCGGGCTTGAGTTCCCGAAAAACGAGCCCGAGTTAGCCCTGACCCGAGTTACCCCTGATGATTCGGGGCTCTGGACGCCCGAAATATCCGGGGTAACTCGGGTCCGGGATAACTCGGGTTTGAGTTCCCGAAAAACGAACCCGAGTTAACCCTGACCCGAGTTACCCCTGATGATTCGGGGCTCTGAACACCCCTCCACACATCCGTACAGGGCAGGTTTCAGTACATGGGATTTGTGCAAGCATCGGATGTTAGTACATGATGAATGTATGAGCACATGAAATGCGTGAGCTCATCGTTACTGTTAATACTAAATCCCTGCATGTTGAATGCATGATCCGCACGCGGAGCATCTATTACACATGGCACTGTACATGCTATTTCCCATCCTGCGCCGCGTGCCCGTGCCAGTGGGCATCCGTCTCGCTCCGCCTCGCTCCCCTGCGGCTCCCCCCGTTTCGCTCCTCGCTGCTCCTCCCGATTCGGTAGTGCTGCTCTGCTTCCTCGTCTCGCTCCCGACCTCCCGGACTGGTCTCTCGATGGATGGTGTTTGAGACGGGAGGTCCACCCAAGATCACCAAACTTTGACGACATGCTGCTCCACAAGAATCGTCTCGCTTTGGAGTGGGCGGGCGCGATTGATGGCCTGCATAACGCACCGCGCGGGTCCGCGCGGGTGCCGCAAGGTGTGGCA